TTAAAAATACTGAAGATTTTTGACGCCTTTAAACTCATTGCTAAAATTATGCCCGTTATCATGAAATAGGAAAGTCCTGCTGATGCAGAACTAATAGAATCGACCTTGCTGAAATTAAATTTTTCGCCAAAGTATTTGAAAATATAAATGAAAACACAAAAATTTAAAAACAGACGATGCCGTCATATTTCACTAAAAAAAGGCAGTTTGCACTTCATATGTTGATTGCCAAGTTGATTATTAAAGAAATGTGGTCCGGATTTCACTATGATACCTTAAGTTTATTGTTTAGAATTAAGCAAAAAGTGTTAAAAATACCATTGCACGAAAAGTATTACATATTCCATTTTACCCAAAAGGTAAGAACCAAACCAAATTAAATTCCATTATACAAAAAGTGCACTTCCCGCAGAAAAAAGAGGGGGGGGCGACAAAAGCCTGCCATGTTTGCACCACCCAAAACAGGCGTCAAGAAAAACGATACTTTTGCCCAGTATGTAAAGAGAAGTTTTCGTAATACATAAAACAATAAAACAATGTTTTAAAATATGTCATAATTACAGTTTTCTCCTGAAAGTTGTTTAGTTTAATTATTTTAATGTTTTGAAAATCTGGGAAATTTAAAAAAAAAATAAATCTCTGTTAACCAACATTTAATAGAAGCCCAGCCCAAAAATCTCCATGCATTTACAATGAATTAACTCGTGATAGGTACCGTAGGACTCGTATGCGAAAACGAGATGACTCGTGTTGAGCGTCTACGAGCAGATTGCCAATCACGAATTAGCTCGTGGTCGGCTATGAATGTGTTATTAGATTATTAAATTTTTATAATAATAGAAGTTTGCCTAAGTTTTGTCACATTGTGTGAAAGTCGACGTGGCTTTCAAGAAAGGAATCGGAGACATTTTCTCGAAGAAAAACTGAAAAGTTTGTATAAAATGTGTTATTTTTTTTACACCCTATTTTTTCAATATGCTGTTCATTCTGAAAAAACAATTCATTATTTTATTAAGGCAAATATGCATTAATTTTATAGGGTTCTCTGCGCAAGATCGATTGATTTCTCTTCCGAATGTCCGCCGAAAGCAACACGGACGGAAACATGGCGGAGAAAACAATACAAGGAAAAAGTGCAATACAAGGAGGCGTGCAAAACATCGTGAGAGAAAAGAAAGCAAGAAAAAACATCGCAGTTCTAAAACATCGTTATGCATAAAAAAAGCGCTGCAAATACTTCGAAGTCTTAAAACATCGTCGTACAAAATATCGAGGTAAAAAATAAAGCACCTACAAATCATTGCAGGAAGATTATATGCACTGTCGATTCTATGCAAGCCATTTTTTCATGTATATCGTGCATTAATTAGCAGGGATAAAACAGTTTGTTGCATAAAGCAATGTTTTCTGAATAATGTGACACGAAATTCAAAACATTTTTCATGAAAGTTTTAAATAAAAGCACAAGTATTAAAATTTTGCTTCAGTTCTTCTCAACTTCGTGTTTGTAGGAATCGACATTTTCGATAGTGAAATGTTAGTTCTAAATAAACAAGCAAATTAATGCGTTTTAAGGCGATTTTCATATTGATCTCTCAATTCTGTCAATCATACCACAAACTTTGTGGAATACACTAAACGCAGACTTAATAAATAAGCTCTATTAAAATATTCATACTGCTCTAGTCAACAGTACGCAAATGACAGACAAACCACTGACCAGATGACAACAAAGGCAACGCGTAGAAAATTTGGATGTCTGAACATCTGAAGAAAGTAAAAGGTAAGTAACTGTATACATAAACATGGACACAGTACGGTAGGGACCGTAGTGGACTTAACAGCATTAGTACGGTCCTGCCGTGCCTGAACCGACTAACATACAAATGATGGTTCTGGTCCTGTGAAGACAGCTAATTTCCTCCTTTGCCAACTACTACCAACGTACAAACACAGTGGGTGATCAGCGCGGGGAGCACACTTGCCAACAGCAATAATGTTTCGAAATTGAAGATATCGGCCTTTAATTAATTTTGGGATAACAAATTAATCATTAGAAATTCTTTATTGACTCTAGTTTTTGTGACAGAGAGCTGTCATTTGTGCGATTAGTGTTTCATGCAAATAAATAATTTATTGCCATTAGCAATGCTTAATTTCAGAAATCCCTTAAACTTCACATCTTGCAGAATTTCTCTTTGATTTCTTTCTGGAAGCCTGAAGTTATATTAGCGATGAGAGTGAAGAAAAGGTACACGAGGGAATATCTTTCAAGCGGTACCCAAATAAATGGTGATCTTATTTCAAGCGGTAGGTTCGAAGAGGCTTTCAAAGCTAAGCGGTACAGTTACATTTCAAGGTTTTCCAAACTAAATGGTGGTTTTATTTCAAGCAGTACCAAGCTAAATGATGTGAAGCTATACTTGCCGACTACTACTAGAGTAAGCATAGACATCAAGCGTTGTCTCTAATTAGGAACTATAGAATCTATAAAGCATTTCAACATTTATCTCGGAAACGTTAGCCAGTCTTTCAAAACAGATATTTTTTCGTTTTCAGCACCTCAAAATACACAGTGTATCTACAAGTTCTAGGATATACATTTTTTTTTATTTTCGCAAAGCTGCTAAACATAACTGTCAGAGTTTATTACTATGGCATTGCAACTTGAATATCCTAAACTATCGTCTACTTACTGGCAGAATTCTATGCCGTCGATCTTCGCATTGATCAAGTGAATATCTGCTGCCATGGATTCGAACTTATCAAAGGATAGTAACAAAGATTTTCTGTAAAGCGAAAATATTCTGAATTAAGACATCTAAATGCTGTATAAAGCCCAAGAGGATCAAGTATTGACACGCTTCAATATTTTTCTTTGGTACGGCAATTCCATGATGGACGCGAAGATGTTGATGATGAACCTAAGAGTGGTCGATCATTTGCAGCCTCATATGAATGAGAATGTAGAAAGTGTTCGACAAATTGTTGCTGAAAAATCGTCATTAGTATATCTGTATCTTCGAATAATAGTAGTTGATGAACACCAGTACAGACAGTGCTCACAAAACTGTCATGAAAGATCTTGAAAAAAGAAACAATTGTGCTCGATTTGTGCCTCACATACTGATTGTCACATTGCAAGGTTTACGTAACATGTTTATACTTTTGTTTAACCAGTTATTTTATTTGTTCAGAATCCTTACTGTCACTTCTTTCTTTTCTTTTCTTTTTTTTTTTTTTTTTTATTATTATTATTTTTTTTTTAAATTTTTTTTTCCCATACTGTAAATGAGCTCGCTTGTGTTTAAGTGGAAGTTTGAGATGGTTTAGACAGAGCGTGTTCTGCCTGTTGAAAGCCACGTTGCTACGGTTACTATTCTAAGATAAGAGCTCCTGTCTTCGGCTGTATATTATACTTGACGATAGTAATTTCACGCCGGTGAAAATATTAAACTTCGCGATTAATTTACTGTGCGTAGTCTTTGTCTGTTAGAAATCTACGTTTAGTTTCATATTTGAATTTTTATTTTGAGTTTTCGCCGTAAATGTTGGCTGATTTGTGAGCACCAGGTGGTCCTTATGTTCGTCTATTTCAGTTTAAAATAAACGATAACTTAACACCCTTCTTAAATCTCTGTAGTACTTTTAAGACTTACGGTAATCCCTTAAAGTCTTATTGAGAATTAGTTACAAGGTACATTTAGTAAAAGGAGAAGTACAGCAGTTTGTAACAAGTATCGCAATTCTCAGTTGCCTTTATTCAGTAGAGCCGGCACTTCAAGACAACTTTATATTCCCCAAAGGAAAGTCTCAGACTCAGAGATCATCACTTTAATTGCATTCCAGAGATTTAGAAAACCTTAACCACGGACTTAAACAATATTCTACAGGGTAAATTTTACCCAGGAATAAAGAAGTTTTATAAATGTGCCAAGTGTCGTATAGATTGATTAAAATTGTATATTGAAAGATAAGATGCAAAAATTCTGCTTCTTTCAATTTTGTCCAAACTTCACCCAAAACCTTTGCAAACGCATATCATATATAAAGAAAGGTAACGTTCAGTATTCATCATGTAAGCATCCGACAAATTAAAATTTTTTACTCAATATTTTTAATAATCCAACAAAATTTAAGAACTTAATTTTATTTTTAAGAATTCAATAATCTAAATTTAATAATTTTAATTTTATTGTCAATAGTTCACTTATATAATTTCAATTTTAATAATTTAATAATCTAACATTAATTGCAATAATCCAATAATAGTATTTTTATATTCTAATAAATCTAATTTCAAAACTCAAATCGCTGTGACGCAAGGTCATGTGTATTCAGCGTAGAATATCATCTACAGGGAAAGACTAGAAACTGCTGGTATAAAGCAAAGTAATTCTGCAAGGGTTCTGAGGCACACCAAGGTTACATTAGGAGTAGTGCCCCACATTTAAGAACTGTACAGCTGGGAATGAGACAGAACGTAGTCATTGATGGGGGACTGAGGAATGGCCTACTTTAATCTCATGAAATTCGAAATTCTTTTTATAGAGTCCGAAATAGTAATTAGCTCTTCCGGAAATATGAGACAACGTTTTCTTTATAGTGAGTAATTACTCTTAATTCTAAAATAATTACTTTTACGCTAAATTTTAAGCAGCTCTAATTAGTTCTCTACCTTTAATCTAGGTCTTAGTTTGACCACTTTTATTGAGAATTACAAATTCAGTTTAATACATGTATCTGCTTTTTAACGAAAGATTAACAGCATTAAGAATGAAACAAATAAAACATAATTTTGCAGGAAACAGAATTACGTAGAGAGAGAGATACATTGAATTGTTTTGCATATTTTAAAACGCTTCGATAGTTATGTAAGTTACAAAATGACGAGAACGCTATAACAAGCGCTGCTGCTGTGCCAGGCTGCTCTAAATATCAAAAACATAAATCAGCGTGCGCGAAAACCTGCAATTAAACAAATCACAAAAAAGACTTACCTGAATCTGTCTCTTCCACTCGTTAGAGTGAGTTGACTCTGGGTTACGGTTACGGCCATCGACCTTTGATTTCGAGAAAATGAAACTGAAATTTGAAATACAACTTTCACACCATCGATCGCGCCATGAAGTCTTTTAGTAAAAGCTTTATGGAAACAGAAATTTTATTATTTTCTGCGTAGAAAACTTTTGTCCATTTGTTCTTGTCCGGATGTTTTAGCACACTTTCCCTTTTTCCTGTTCGAAGATGCTTGAAGATACTGAATGCCGGCGAAAGTGATCGTTTGTGTTTATCCTCATTTTGCGCTTCGTTTCGCTCCGCCTCCGGGCATGTGCGATTGGACGAGGAATTTTTCTCTGAGTGGGGCATGCGCGCTAATTTCAGAAATGGTGAAAGTTTTTCGCAGTTTTCTCTCGCTCTCTTCTTCTTCCTTGAACTCAATTTTTTTTTCTCTCTGATGTGAAAAAGTGACAGTAAACGAGAACGAATTTATGAAGCTTAATTTTAAAATTTATTTCCAGGGATGTGTTTACAAAGATATCGTAACAAAGTTCTCAAGCCAAATGTTAAATGTATTTTGTAGTAATAATAAAAGTGTTTAGTGTAATGCAAATTTAAGATATTTTCAAATTTTCATGCTTTAAATTTAATTTATTGTTTTCAGGCTAAGAATGTTGCACTTGCAATGCGAATAGGCTGCCCATATGGGGGCTGTTTTAAAGATTAATATGGGTTCATCAGTAGAGATTACCAATAGAGTTGGCTGAGGTGAAAAACTTTATAGAATGCTAGATGGATATATGTTAAGACGCCATTTTGTAAAAATACTTAATGTTTTTAATTAGATACAATTACCCATTTTTATTTAATCAATCAGATTAAAAAATACAAGCGTAGTATTCTTGAGAAGTGAAGCTTTTGCTTTTGCTTAGTTTGTTCATCATTAACAGACACATTGAATTTGAAAACTGTTTTCTTACATTTTGACAAATGACAGAAGATTCGAATGGAAAATGAAAGAGAGCAAAATCATGTTTCGAGACTAATAAATTATAAAGAGAAACATTAGGAAATGTTTTCGGCGTTAATATGTTGAATTTATCATAACGTTTCGGTAACAGAAACTCTCATAAAATTATGCATGCTCAGAGAGGAACTATAATTCCACTTTAACTTATTATGAATATTTATATGATGAAGTTATCTTACCTAGGAATTTGGTTTTTTATTTCCTCAATGCTTAAAGTAGCTTTCTTGTTTGACCAAATATCCTTCATAACAGATGAAAATACCCTTTCAAGAGATGCTACATTTTCTGGATTTCTTGAAAGAATAAACTCTATAATACTTTAATAAGTCTTGAACATCAAGCCGACTTCTACGCATTTCAGGAAAATTCTCTACCCGCCTGATATTTTATTTTCCGAACTACCATAGTTTCTTAATACTCGTTAATTACTGGGATTAGGTCATAAGAATTTTAATCTTAGCACGATCCTTATTATTGAAATTAATTTTTCGTTTAAGCTCGTGTCCATGAAAGTGTTTTGTGATACGAGGAAGAAGTCAAAGTACCGAAGTCTCCGTTTCATGTGATCCCGTTTAATTTTACATTTGGGTTTTGTTATCGGGTTGCCGTTGGTATATAAAGTCGTCAAAGGTTTGAAATGCATTATAAAAATTTCCAAGCCACACAGTAATGTCGCCAATTAAGCGACTAAGTCGCCAAGCCTCTCGGTTTCGATTCTATTCAACAATTTGAAATTTCGTCAAAAAAAACTTTAGCTTGACGTAGATTTCAATAACTATTGATTTTGAGGAGATCAGACAGAGGTCTCTCTTCGTTTGGAGGAAAAAGTATGTTTTCAGAATTTTGTTTTCCTGGAAACATCTAAACCAAACAAAGGCTGCTTCTTGGCCTCATTTCAAATTTTACACTGCCAAGTTCTCTTTCAAAGAGGGATACTCTCCGAGTATTAAGATCAGTGTTACGGCATCGGTCAGATAGTTTCCAGAAACGTTATGAAGAGTTCATAAACCAACTTTTGCATTTTTTGACTTAAAATGCCGTGAAAGTAGCTATTTATGTATTTCTAGTAATATTTATATTAAATTAGTTACATTCTGTTGCTTTTTGAAGGACCTTTTTTTGTCATCATGTACTATTATCATTCGGTTAATATTATCAAAATAACCATAAAGAAACGTGCTCACATCAAACGACCTCTGCTATAACATATATTGATACTGTAATTTCGAATTTAAACTTTGGAGAGGAAAGAGGTAAGAAATTATGAGTCTTCAGGCTAGAGATCATTATGAAGTATGCGCAAACAAGGTGCGCAAAAAGCCACTTAAATACAATGCGGTGATCAGATCTGTACCACAGTCTTGTAATCTAGATCTTCGATTCACTATATTTTTTGGGATATTATTTTTTTTAATTAATCATAGAAAGAAGTTCTACTCTTTGTAAGAGAATGAAACATTATATCTGTCATTCCAAAAAGATATATAATACATTTCCAAAATGATTAATGTTATGCAAACTGAGAAGCAGTTTTTTTTTAGTCCAAAGGGATTTGAATCCCGAAGGACTATTAGTTTCGTTTTGGCATTTTGCGTCGGACGGATAAATGTCGGTTCACTTTTCAAACTGTTGCCATAAAATGTTAGAGTCCTGCATTATATTTGAAGAAATTAAATAATGAAAATCTGCGTAAATGTATGTATATTTCTCACATTGTCATAAAATAACAGTACATAGAGTCATCGAATTTTGAATAACGTAATCCTCCAACGAATATGAGCATGTGGAAGACCAAATTTGAAATTTGAAATTTGTTTTACGATCGATTTCCTATTTTTTAAAACTTTGACGAATTTTTGATTAACAAACTCAAGGATTTCAAAGCGAGCAATGGCAACGTTGTGCAGAAAAAACATTTTTATCTCCAGCGCGTGAGTCTCTGTATCAGAAATTCTAAAGATATGCTCGTTTTAAAACTATTTTGCGATATTGCTGTTGCACTGGATCTTATGGTTTAAGTGCGAGGAACATGATATTTAATAAAGAAAGGTAACACACAAAATGTTAAAAAACGCCCCTTTGTACGTAATTTAAAATCTGAAACATTTCAGATTTTTTAATTTTTTTTTTTTTTTTTTTTTAAACAGATTTTTTCTTTAATTTCATGATACCCATGAAATTAAAAATCTCATTTTTTTAAGGTATCATCATTCTGACGTTACCCTCAGGGGCTCACTTTTGTGAGTACGGGTGTGGCAATCCCGAGGTACCCTAGCCCTTCAGGGGATCATCTTCTTGATGAGACGGGTGTCACGATCCTGGAGCCCCAGTGATCTATCCTCTTTTCCGTCTCCTCTCCTCTTGGCTGGAACTTTTTCCCTTCCCTTCTCCCTTGTAGTTTCTCTCTACGGAGTTTGGGGCTCGTCACGAGAGACTAGAGCAGTCCTTGCATCTAGATTTCGAGTGGCGAGAAAACTGCCCACGTGTTTGCCGTGCGTGGAGACCCGTGTCGCTGGAAAGGAGGGTCCTGGTAGTTGAGGGGCGAGGAACTGTCCCCAACACACTACTTTGGCCTCTGCTTCAGCTAAACGGGAGGCACCTTAGTCGTCCTCACGGGTGTCAATCGGCTGGTCACTAGTCCTTGTGTCAGTGGCTTGGGGTCAAGCTCTCGGGAGTACCTGCTTTCGGGAAAGCCGACTGTGGGGCTTCAGTTTGCGTATAGGTCCGGCTAGCCCTAACACAGGAATCTGTGTTCCCTTGTAGGGCTCCGTGGTGGGCGGGGCCGTCAGACCCCAATCTTTTCTTTCCTCATGATGGCTAACCCTCAAATTTTTCTAATAAAGGATTTTGAAGTCACTCCAGTCACTCAACCGAATTCTGAAAAGCCTTCTGCTAAACCAGTCACTCAACTTAGTCCTGAAAAGTCTACTGCTAAACCAGTCACTCAACCTACTTCTGAAAAGTCTACTGCAAAAAAATTACGCACAGATACAAATGAAAAAAAATCATAACAATAGTCCCCGTTTCCTAGTCATTTCTAGTCCTTCTGGCGAGCTGCAGAAGATGTCTCCTTTCATAATAAATAAATATATTCATTCTTGTATTGGTGAGCCGAGAAATATAAAGCGTCTCAGCTCCGGAGACTTGCTTATTGATACAATCTCAGCCACCCAGTCTGCTTCTTTACTTCAAATAACTAAACTTGGGCAAGTGAATGTCACTGTAACAGCACATAAGACATTAAATTATTGTCGTGGCGAAACATCGGAATTCGACCTTCTGTATGTTCCTGAAGAAGAGATCGCTTCCGAGCTATCCGACCAAAATGTCTGCGGTGCTAGGCGGATCAAGATGCGTAAGGAAGGTAAGTTGATCGATACGGAACACGTGATCCTTACCTTCAACACGCCTGATCTGCCTAAGAATATTAAGGCCGGATATTTAAATTGCCCCGTAAGACCTTATATTCCCAACCCTATGCGATGCTTCCAATGCCAGCGTTTCGGCCATTCTAAGACGTCTTGTCGTGGCAGCCTCACATGCGCCCGATGCTCACAGATTGGCCATGATTCTGAAAATTGTACCGCTGCGCCTCTTTGTATAAATTGCAAGGCTGAGCACCCAGTATTTTCACGCCTCTGCCCAAAATGGAAATTGGAAAAAGAAGTGCAGTCTGCAAAGGTTACGAGGAACATCTCATATGCCGAAGCCAGAAGATTAGTCCAAAGCACACAGCTACGACCAAATACATCTTACGCCAATGCTCTTAAAAGATCTCGCACAGTTGCCACCCAAACATCAGTTAGTATGCAGACTCCACCAAACAAAACACAACAGACTACAAACAAGAAGAAAGAAAACCCAACCCATACAGTACAAAATAAAGAAATAGTAATTCAAAGCAAACCCAAAACTACCACACGGAAGGAAACAAATAAAAATAGAAGTTCCAGCAATAGCTCTCTTGATGGAATGGTTTCTGAATCTGGGGATTCAGACGGTATGGAAGTAGAAGAGGGGTCTGGAAGTTCCCAAGCATCTACTTCCACGAAAACCTAAACAAGAGCACAGAAAGAACAAAACTATTCATAATGGCCACCCTCGTATCATGGAACTGCCGCGGTTTCCACCGAAATCTGCTCGACATCAAAGCTATAATCAATGTTCATCAACCTGTATGCTTCGCAATACAGGAAACAAATCTAAAACCGGAACAACAAGCAAAACTTCGGAGGTTTTCTTTCGTCAGGAAGGATAACCTTGC